AAATTATTATTTGTATAATATTAATGGTTTTTTAAAGCTTCATAATTTTTCTAGTATAATGAGTTGTTATAACCGTTTAAATAATGCCTTTATAATTTTCTATGTGCTATATGAAAAGGTAATTAGCTTCAACCAAAGAGAATTTCTTAAGTTCGAAATAAATAAAAAAAATTCAACTAATGAATACCTCATTCTGAAACAATACAAGTCAGATTTTTGAAGTTTACAGAATCTTTGAAGAAATAAAGTCATTTATTTACAAGAACAATTCTAGATTCATTTTAACAATCTTTTTCCAAGTTTCGAATTAAAAACAATTTTTGATTTGAAGAAATTTTGTGGTTCCAATATTATTCAGAGTACTGTTTACTTAACAAATTGCTATTTTTATCTATCTAAAACTAAACGTGCTGATCGTTTCATTTAGCTAGATACTTTCTATGCATTAAATATGCATTTTTAAATTTCTTAAAAGTTATTTTACCTAAGGTATTTTCATTGCTCGTTCCACGAAATCTTATCAAAAACAAAATCTTATCGGGAAAAAAAATCGTAAAACCTTTTATTTTAAAAAATTTATATTTTCAGAACTAAATACATTTGAATTCCTTCATTCTGAGTTTATTAAAAATTCATTTTGAATAGCGAAGAGCACTAAATCTGTTAGTCCATCGCTTAAAAATATCTTTTATTATTGAAATTGATTCAATTATTTTTTCAACAAATAAAGAGCAACAAACTTTAGGAGTTAGAAATGTGAAAAAGGCAGATTTAACATGACATTTTCGAAGATACGAAATAACAAGATCAAAAAAGTCTTAAAATAGCTTCTTAACAATAAATTCAGTATTTTCAATGTAATTTAAATATCTTGAATTCTTCTTCAACACCTTTTCTTTTAATCGCAACTTTCAATGTGAACTATTGACTGTCTATTTTATATTCTTTCGGGTAATTTACAAACAAGTACTATTTCCTTTTCAAAACCAAATCCATGTAAATTTCCTATTCACCCAAAAATTTAAATGTAAGACGGAATAATATTCAAATGAGTTAAAAAATAGACAAATGTTGGCATTTAAATATTATCAAAAGTAGGAAACTGCAATAAGATTCCATTTTTTTTATTTAGTTATTTATTTTTAACAATATAAGTAGAATGAACTACACATTTTAACAATGCATATCAAGAGCATTCAAAAGAGTCGTCCCGATAATTAAAAGATATTTAGTATAAAAAAGCAAAGCGTTTTATTTTGTAATTATGGGAATTGCAGTACAGAAGTAAACAAAATAATTAAAAAGAAAACTTTTTTTTCTTCTTTTAATTTTTTTTTTTTTTTTTTTTTACTTTTCCNTTTTTTTTTTTTTTTTTTTTTTTTTTTTTTTTTTTTTTTTTTTTTTTTTTTTTTTTTGTAAAATGTAAAACCAGCTGAAGGCACTCCGTTTTGTTTTGTTTGGAGAAGAGGGGCACATTTTTTTTTCTCAGTTTTTGACAAATAGTTGACTAGTCTTCTAGATTTTTGAGTGATTTTGGACAAAAACAGCTCCTTTTTCGTTGTTGTCTTTTCCTTCAAAATGTATCTTTTTTTTTTCTATTATTCCAAATGCAAAACAAATATAACTACTAAAACTCATTCATTTATATAATCATTTATTTATTACAATAATTATATTTTTAGTTATTTATTTAGGCTTCCAAAAACACTCAGAAAAGAAAATCCTTGATTTTTTTCACACTGATTCTATCGAATTTCACTGAGTTTTGTAACTGGTAGCTTACATTTTACTATCAATTTTTCAATTATACCTAATTCTTACGCATAAAATATATAACAAAACACTTCTACTTGCTATTAGAAAAAAAATTCTTTCTTTTTTAATAACGAATTTCTAGGTATCTCAAACTCAAATTAATTCATTTTCTCACACTTTTTATACATTTTAATTTAATTCCTTGATATTTCCCTGATTTTTCAAGATTGAAAAAATCTCCCTGCTCTACAGCCAAACTGTTATTATATTAATGCAGCAATACAATAAGGTAACGAAATATTGTGCAGGAATATTTCTGCCTAGCTTTAGCTCCTTAGAAGTAAATACAAGTTGTTGCACAATCCCCTCAATATATCTTTAAAAACTTTGTCAAATATGAATTCAGAATAATAAGCAAACTAGAGATCGCAAAATAATAATAAGTGAGGAAAAAACATAAACCTTATTAAAATCTGACGAATCGCAACTGATGATGGAGGGTTTAAAAACATCAAAAAATCAGTTTGATTGAATTTCGAAAGTATTTTTAATAGTTGCATTTCACCTCCTTTCAGTTTCCTCAGACAATGAAAGAGACTATGATGTTTACAATTCCGACCTCCTGAATTCGTTAAATTATGTTACAGTTTTTATTTTTCCCTCCCTCGTCTTGATTTGCAACTTAAATTGAAAATGATTCTAAAAATATATATTGAGGTTGGTTATTACAGAACACTTTATGTGACGTTTATTGCCTAAAATTTCACAAAATTTTCCTAAATTAAAATAAAGTATCTTTTTTTTTTCAAAAAAAAATTTAAAGTATATTATATAATATTGTATAACAGAAAATAATTTATATCACATTTGAATTTAAAAACATTATACAACATATCTTTTAAAAATCTTTTTCTTTATGATCAAAACTTAAGGATTTAATTTTTTTTTTTTCAAAGGGTCTGACTTTTTTGGATATAAACTATGCTTGGAGTAAATTAAGGTATACTCAGTAACAAAAGCAAATCAAACATTCAAAAACTATAAACATAAATCAAAACAGACATTAATTTAACTGCTCAAATACTATAATAAATTAATAATGGAATTCCCAAAAGCAAAATTATATCTAATTTTCTGTAACAAGATTTGTGATAATTTTGCATGCATCTTCAAAAACACAGACAAACAAGTCTCGTTAATTAAATTATTTCCATTTTTTTAATAACATTAAATTTTATTTTTAAACTAGAATTGAAAAAAATGACACTAATTTAATATAAATTTATGCATAAGTGCCTATTTAAAGAAATAAAAATTGATACAACATAGAAAATTTCAATAGCGACTTGAACATAAATTGTTCTGCAGGGACAAAGACATAAAGGGTTCCTCCTAAAACATGAATTGTTCGACAATTTAAAGTACTTTGTACATTGGTAATGTATAGGAAGTGTGGTATCGAAAATATCCCTCAGCCCTCTAAACTCAGAACTCTAAATTTTACTCTTCAAAATTTAAGGAGTGAAATTACTCTGTCAAATAAGTTTTTTAAGTAACATTTTCTGTGATATCATAAGAGCAAAAATGATTGTGCAACTAGACAAGACAAACAAAAATGATTGTGCAACTAGACAAACAAAATGATTGCGCAACTGGACAAACAAAAATGATTGTGCAACTAGAGAAAAAAAATGACTGTGCAACTAGACAAACAAAAATGACTGTGTAACTAGAAAAGTTTTTTTTTTTTCAAACGGTAACAAATCATTTTCAGTTGCGATCAACATTTTTCTTTTTTTATTCAGGGTTAACTTATGCCACACACAAAAGTCAACTGCTTTGATACCATNTAAGTTATAGGGCTCCAAAATTTTACATTTAACTTAATTAAAAAAAAACTAAATTATTTAATTCAAATTACTGAAAATATAGACAGAATAAGTAGTAAACCTAATAACAGAGAACTATCTAACCTGATTGTAATAGAATCCTTGGTGATTAATTCTCATGTCTATGGTATTGTACTTTATAAGAATTATAATTTAAGAGCATAGGGTGAAATAGTGATAAGTCAAACTTTTTTAAAAATGGGCATTTACAAGTTTTCAGAATTTTTACTAAATATATCCATGATACTCAGAAATGTCTAATTGCCTACATAGAAATCTTAAAATTTAAAAAAAAAAAAAAAACTCTCCTGAACAAACTAAAAACATGGCTTATCATTTAGCAAAATGAAAAAGATAGCAAAAAAAAATTATCTATTAACTTATAAAGTAAACCAAATTAAAAAATTTAAATTGTGGTGTTTTCCACCAAAATTGTGGCTTATCATTAAGTTACTTCCAAGCCCTTCAATTAGTTATTAACTAATAAAAAATTGGTTGAGATACTCCATATAAATATTAGAAAAAATTATTTTTATTAATCAAGATCCATATCATGTAACATAAAAATTAAACAATTCAACTATCATGTTTAAATTAAATGCAATTTTAAGTTAATTAAGTATTAAAATAACGAAGATGAAAAAGATCCAGTTAATTGTTTGTGATACAAATACTATGTTTTTCACCAAAAGCCCCCTTGAAAACATTTTTTTTGTCAGTAAATTACTTCCAAGTCCTTCAATTAGTTTTTTAACTAATAAAATATCTTCCCGATACTCCTCATAAATATTAGAAAAAATTATTTTTATTAATCAAGATCCATATCATGTAACATAAAAATTAAACAATTCAACTACCATGTTTAAATTAAATGCAATTTTAAGTTAATTAAGTATTAAAATAACGAAGATGAAAAACATCCGGTTAATTGTTTGTGATACAAATACTATGTTTTTCACGAAAAACCCTCTTGAAACATTTTAAATTGTCAGTAAATTACTTCCAAGTCCTTCAATTAGTTTTTTAACTAATAAAAAATTGTTTGCGATACTCTTTATAAATATTAGAAAAATTATTTTTACTAATCAAGATCTATATTACGTAACATAAAAATTAAACGATTCTTGACTATCATATTTAAACGAAATACAAAATTTTATTAAATCTTAAAATGACGAAAAAGATCCGTTTTAAGCATTTATGATACAAATAAAAAAAAAAAATAAAAAAAAGCGCAATTATTACAAATAAGAAAAAATACAGTTAAAACGGAATTTGTATGAGAGAGAAAAGGTAAAGGTCAAAGATATATGATTTAATATCTCCATTTTGAAGTAAAAGATGAAAAGAACTTACCCAACAAACTCTTGTAGCAGGACGAGCATCCTCTCTACACGTGGTTGGAAAAGCTGCGAGACCGAGATGAACTGGAGAAGAGTGAAGCCTTGCAGGTTGTCTGTCCAACTGAGAGCCACTGGAGAGTGGCGTTTGTTGCAGCTGCTGGGCGTAAGCCATGCGAAAGGCGGAGCCAACAACTTCGCTCAGCTCTTCCGCCTGAAATACAACACAATTTTTGAGATCGAATACAAAGAAAGGATGAGGATTCAAAATAGTTCTTTGAAAGGGAAAATGTCAAGTAGGGAGAGATCATCTGGATTTCAGAAAAAATACATTACAAAAAGTAAATAAGAGTTTAAGGAGCTCGTTCTAAGGTCTGTTTTAAAAAATCAGATCTTTTGCGATTAAATACTATTTCAGTATAGATGAAAACATTTATACACACCAATAAAACCAAATGATTAATAAAAAGAAATTCTTTTTTAAAAAAATTCGAATTTGAAGTTCACTAACAGCACGAAAATTGCTATAAAGAAGATAATTTTAGTGTATAATGCACTGATTTATAAATCAAATTTTCAAAAATCTTTCACTGCAATGTGTATTTCTTCAATATTTACTTAAAATACTTTTTTATTGAAATGATGTTTTTTTAAAACCAGCATTTCAACAAAAAGTTATATATGTACTCATTATTTGTTTTAATAATTGGCCAGTTTCTCTCAATTAAAAAAAAATATATTTCAATAAAAAAATTTATTAACAAAAAATGTGTTCATTTTTTGTTACAATAACAGTGTAAATATATTATTATAATTTTATTTTATTTTAAAACCAGCATTGAACAGCAGATCCGATTCTGAGTTTACAACTATCAATGTCAACTCCGCAGCCTTGCAATTTTGAAACCAACAAAGGAGACAAGGGAACTTCTGGATCAAGAATTGGGAAAAATTAGCCTTCGTGGAGGATTTTTTGACGGAATTAACCCGCATTTGCATTACACGGAGAGAAAAACCACGAAAACATCTCACGGTGAGCCCAACAGCAAAGGCGACTCTAACCCATGATCTGTCTATGACTGGGGATATTTTAAGTTATCACTGCGGTTGATGCGAGCTGTGAGCAGAATTCGTATCAACCTGCCATCACTAGGATTCGAACCTGGGTCACTTCATTGGTAGGAAAGCGCTCTATCCCCTGAGCCACCACGACTCACATTATTATAATTGATGAATAGTGAGGAGAGATGAATAAATCAGTGTAATGCCAATGACAAGTTTTCCAACTATCTTTCTTTCTTTCTTTCTTTTTTTTTTTTTTTTTTTTTTTTTTTTTTTTTTAAAAAATATCACTGGTGATAGCCAGACAATTTATAGCTCTGTAGCCTTAAGGTTTAACTCTGAAGACAAGGCAACTATTGAGTCTTGTTGAGACAAACTTTGTGGAGAACTAATTGACATGAACTAATAGATATTTAGATTATACATTAATATCGGACAACTCCATTTACCATTGCGAATACCTGACTTTAAAAATATACAGTCACAAAAAAACTCAGCTGACCACCAAAAAATTGTGGTAGTTCAGTGCGTGCATGCATGTAACAGTATTGTTTTCGGATCATCACTATGAATGCATACCAAATTGTCGTCAATAGCCCATTAGTGTAGCTCTAATTCGACATTAACAATCAAATCAAAACACCAATTATTGATTTTCAATTATATAAAATAAAATCTCTAACTAATATACAAGACTAAGAAACTAATGAGGCGGTGCGTATCAAACCTTGAAGTCCACAAAAAATAAATAAAAATTCTATTACATTATCTGTAATCGAAACTCTTTTAAATAAAAATACTTCGATAAGTTTAAAATTTATTGAACTAACCAGAAAAAAAAACTTATTTTTTAAATCTTAAATTTAAAGTTGTTCATGATAATCTCAGAGCAACTGAAATGCAATTGACAGGAAATTAAAGACAATTAATTTCCCATCATTTGCACTTGAGCTGTCACCCATTAACAAATATTGCATGTGGGTGAATTTTGCTGTGAAGTCATGCGACAACACTAGTTTTCCATATACTAGCACTCAAGTGACAAACCACAAAAACGTAAAGGACGTTTCCTATAATTTTTAAACTTGTGACTTTTAATCCTCGGCAAAGCACGGAACCGAAAATACGTGGACGAAATTATGGAAACAGCCTTTCCTCTCGCAACTAAAATTTTGGAAAGTTTCATATTTTAAAACTTTTATCACACTTTGAAAGATCATGATCACAGCTTTTAGATAGGATCACGTTTTCGCCATCAAAAATTTCTATTGACCAAAATAAGAGGGGATTTTAGTTTATTCCATAACCGACCCAATTCTAGGTTTACAACAATCAATGTTCAACTCCAGCCAGGTGGCAGAGCGGTTAGCGTGCCTGGTTGCGAAACTTATGGCTGCGGCTTCGAATCCAGCTCAGGGCATGGATGTTAATTTCTGTGTGTTGTCCTCTGTTGTGTGTGATGTGTGAATGGGGCCCCCACACTATGAACGGGTACCTGAGGCAGTGTGGCATGGGTAATGTTGCTCCCTTCCGTGACTTAGGTTCACTTTCGAGGGGAAGAACGAAAATTCAGTACCTGTCGCTAAAAAAAAATTAAAAAAAATTTCAATTCCGTGCCCTTGTAATTTTGAACTAATCCCAGAAGACCAGGGAACTCCTGGATCAAACACTGGGACAAACCAGCCTTCGGGGAGGACTTTTTGATGGAACAAACCCGCATTTGCGTTACATGCCGAAAAAAACATGAAAACGTCCCACGATTAGCCTGACGGCATAGTGATTCTAACCCATGATCCGTCTACCACTGAGGATATTTAACATCAGCACTGAGGTCGGTGCGAGCCGGGAATGCCGGAAGCAGAATTCGTATCAACCAGCCACCGCTGAGAATCGAACTTGGGAAACCTGATAAGGAGGCTAACGCTCTATCCCCTGAGCCACAGCGGTTTTAGAAGGGTAAACTGAAAATTTATTTTCATTAATTTTTGAAAAGCACTTAAATTAAGGGATTTGTTCAATAAATATCACAAGCTTTTAAATACACAATTTGACTGCCTCCAATTTCGAAAGACCCGATGAACAAAATTTCGCAAAACATAAGGAAAACAAATTTCTACCCCGATAATATATTAAAGATATAAATTTCAGTACATACTAAAACATAACTCGTCACTGTATTGGATTTTGAGCTTTCTAAAGTCATAAAAAATGTCCATTTTTTTAGACAGATTTAGAAAAGCTTAAAAAGTCATTTAGAAAAAAGTAGGAGTTAAGAACTTTTAATTATTCAGGGCAGTTTATTTAGTAATGGGTAAATTAAGACCACGCTACAACAAATGTGTAATGGTGATTTTTTAAGTTGAGCTAAAAGTTTTAAACAAAAATTTAACTAATTTTGCATGCAAGGGAAAGGCTGTTTTCATTTAGATAATGCAGCAGTGAATTCATAATATTATCGAACCCTCATATATATAAAGGGAGCTTTGTATTAGAAATATTTGTATTTAGATATATTTTTCATTAATATTTATTTTTACAATCCTTGTCAAAAATGAAGTCAAGGAAGGAGGCACATTATTGATTGCAAATTATTATTTGAGCGAGGAAAAAACAAAAATGCTATGAAAATATGACAAATCATTTTGAGGTGGGATGAAACACATCAAAATAAGTTTGGCTACCTGGAGAAACTGTAAGATATTTTTGATAATCACCTTTCAGCACTTGTTTGTTGACTTCGGCAATCAAACAGGTTTTGATGTTTTAGACCTTCCATTCTCAGTAGTGATTTCTTAGATTTCAATAGCGATTTTGTTTTCTTCTCACTTGAATATTTATTTGCAATCTAAAATTATGTGTATGTTTTGTTTATTCTTGACAAAGGTTTGTGTATGAAAACAAGGATTAACAATTTATTAGGGTAAACAATTTAAACATTAACTGATCAGCGATAACTAAACAAGTCAAAGTTCATCTGGGATTTCATATATAGTTTTCCTGTGATCTAATTCCATTTATTTATTTTATGGTGTTTTCTAATAGTTTGATCCTATTTCAAGAGGCCAATTTTTGTCCCATCAACATAATTACTAGTTATTTTTAAACAACAAATCAAATCTTTAAAATAATTTTTTACGTATTTTAAAAACAACTTAGTATAATAAAATGAATTAACTGCAAACGCATATTATTAAAAACTTGCGACAAAAATAAATGCATTCTATAGATACTGAGTAATGTATATACTTATTGCAAAATGGAAGAAGAGTAAATACAGATACCGAGAAACCGGAGAGTCTTTGGTTGAACTAGAGGTAATCATAAAATATTAGTAAACACAAAAAAAAAGAAAAATATATCAGAATCGTATACATTGAAAGAGCCAATCTATCGAAGGGAAAATCTTGAAAAATGGTATCCTTGCATAACACTGAATTCCCTATTGATATGGAATGCATTGATAGAAAGGTAGAAATAGAAAAAATATTTTATATAAAAAAGAAGAGTGGACTGGTAACATTTTTGTGTGTTGTTTACCGTTTGTTGCCAGATATAGAAAGATAAAAGCCCATCGATGAAAAAGCCATGATTAATTCAATACGACGTTGTCAAATAAAAACGTTTTGAGCACTGAATCTTCAGTTCATTCATAACTTTATCTTCCTTGTCATTTTCAAAGAATTCTTAAGAATAAGTGATTAATGAAAAAGGAAGTTATCTGTGTAATGTTAGAAATTACGGAGCGTGTTGAACTATATCGTTCAAATTTGCTGTAACTTGAATTATATTATCGCTCTTTTTAAACTTGATTACTAGGTCCAAAGTGGACAGTAACATGATTCGATTTAACACATTATTAAGGTTAGGGTTGTCGAATATTATATAAATTTGTCTCAATCTTAATAAGGTGTTAAATTGAATCATATTACTGTCAATATTTGTTGCTAGATGTAGAAATATAAAAGCCCACCGATGAAAAAGCCATGATTAATTCAATACGACGTTGTCAAATAAAAGCGTTTTGAGCACTGAATCTTCAGTTCATTCATAACTTCATCTTCCTTGTCATTTTCAAAGAATTCTTAAGAAAAAGTGATTAATAAAAAAGCAAGTTATCTATGTAATGTTAGAAAATACGGAGCGTGTTGAACT